CTTTTAGAGTCCTTGAGGCCACTTGGAGGCCATCTGTGTCCTCAGGGTCACCTGAGTAGTGCCTGCATCTCAAACTGAAGCGCAAATGGTTCCTGTAGTCTGCAATCTTTCTGGAAATCCATTCATACTCCCGCACCATTCAAAGGAAGAGAAGCCAAACATCTTCAAAGAAAATCAAGAAAGCCCAGTTGCCTTTTGAAAAAGCATCTTTGGGACAAGCATGACTTGGATGACTGAGAATCTCCATAGACATTGGTCTAATGCAATTTGTTTGTGCAAAAGCACGCAACGAAAAAGGCATCCATCAGTAGCACCTAAGATAAGCAATGGGGAGATATTTATTGCATTGCTCTTAAACAGTTGCAAACCAATCTTTCTACTGGGAAAATTTGCTGGTGGTGAAACAAACCAAGTTTACATATACTCAGAGACAAGATTTCTATAAGTAACTTGATCGTGGTTCATTGAACAAAAACCCAACTGGTTGGGTTCATACAATGCACCAAGCTAAAACCCAATAAAATATATGTTATTAGAATCTTGAACTTAACTATAATATTTACTCTCCAGCAGAATATAAGAGAATCATCCCAGCCAAGCAGATTGTATTTTTGCAGCTGTTAATGATTTAAATATTGAACAAGGGGTGCCACTTGTTAACTCAAAGGCTATATCAGGCTGAAAACAACATATCTAGGGGCTGAATTCCAAAAGGGGATATAGTGCCCAATTTTAAGTTTCAAGGTTTTCAAAGGATGTACCTTAAAGGATCCATTTGATGAGTCATGCAAAATCAGTCAAATGTTTTGATCCTATCTACTCTGGTAGGTCTGAAGGCTGCAGCATCTAGTGGTAGTGAGGTCCCAGGCAGTCTTCAATTTTTATCCCCAGGACAGAATTGGGATGCTCAATTAAACCTGTCCCTAGATAAATAAGCATCTTAAGAATGCAGCCTGGCCTACACTTCACCTGTTCCAAACTAGCCACGTAGAAGCTGATGCCACGAATCTCATTCTGCAGCATGGGTCTCCAAGCTTGGCACCTTTAAGACTTGTGAATTTCAACTCCCAGAATTCCCTAAATTCTGGGAATTGAAGTCCACAAGTCTTAAAGGTGCCAAGCTTGTGGAGACCCCTGTTTTACAGCCAGCTAAATAGATACAACCCAATATCCATGTGAGAATATACTTTCTTACAGTGAAGTTACCTCCTTTCCAACCCTCCCAGGACTGTTCTGCTGTCAATTTCTATAACTTCCTGGGATAATGGAAAAAAACATTTAATCGGCCAAGTTACTTGGAAAGATATAAATAACACACGGGGCAACTGCAGGACACCAAGAATGTGCTCTTTGGTCAATAAACTTTTAATGGCCAAGTTTGGTACTCTGCACCCCTTGGAAAAGGTGCTGGTTAGATATTGGGAGAGGAGAGGGGCTGTGCCAAACCAGATAAGCCCAAATTGTCCTTGATTTGAAGTTAATCACACAGGCCGAGCGCTGGAAGGCTACAGAGCGTGTCTTTATTCCCCCTTGTAACTAAGGGCTCTGCTTTTTGTCTCTGCGAGATGTAAACACATTTGCTGCAGCCATATATAGAGAGAAGCCGAGCTTGTCTATTTAGACAAGAAACTTCCTACCTTGGCTGGATTCACAGATTTGGCTAAGCCACAAAGTGGTTGGGTGTCATACATAGTGCTAAAGCATTGTACGTGTTTATTTTGGGCACAGTGTCCCTTTTTAAAAAACCTGCTATTATGATATGTCACTCAATGTTTGGTTTAGGGTGTTAAGCAGTGACTAAACAAGCTATGGTTTATAAGGATGTTCAACACTTACCCTTGAGAATTGCCAACCCACAAATAAGGGTATTTTATTTGGGTACTCCAATAAGCCAAGATTAAACAGATAGCAACTGGGTACATGACATCAAAAGGACCCATTTAACCAATCTTTAGTATAGCCATTCTAAATAGGTTGGACTCCCGTTCCCATAACCCTCAGCCAATACGATATAATACAAGTGGCAACTCAAATGGACATACATGGAAAGGATCACTTGGAGGTATCTTAGCAGAATTTTGAACTCCTCCTTCCTGGAATCATGTAACTGAAGATGAAGGCAAACATAGACCATGAAGAAGATTGGTGGGGGTTGTGGCCCAACCACACTGGGAGGGACAGTCACTATCTCCTTGTGTCCGGTCTTATCTGATGCTTGCATTTAGTACAAAGATAAACATTCTTCCTCATCGAGATTTGGAGAAAGCCTGAGTGACGTTGTGATTAGCGTGTTGGATCTGGAACAAGGAGTCCCTGATTCAGGTATATCCTCAACTCAGAATTGCTATGGAGGCAGGAAGGAGGACTATATAAGGCCAAGGGTCCCCAACCTTGGCAACTTTACAATTGGTGGACTTCAACTCCCAGAATTTCTCAGCCAGCATGGATAGGCTAAAGCATGGAGCTGCAGCATGGCTGGCTAAGGAATTCTGGGAGTTGAAATCATAAAATTGCCAAGGGTGGAAACCCCCGATGTAGACCAACTTGAGCTCCTAGAAGCTAGCAAGAATCTCCCAGATGACCTTCAACCCTGTTAGCCTTTTTGTAATCTGGGTGTCCCTCCCAGTCTTTTGGGTTAGCTAGAAGGTTAGGTGAGCCCTGCTGATGACAAAGCTTTTTATTCTATTATTTTATTTTAACCAGAGTGTCATGGATTACGTACTTCTAGTGTGGCTTTAATCTTGCAGGTTCAATCCTAGTGATCTTCAAATAGGACTAAAAAAAATCTAGCTTGAAATTCTGAAGAACTGTTGCCATCCCTAGACACAAATGTGGTATCACTTGTGTTCCTTTTTCATTTGTCTTCTTTCAGTATTTAAGGGAAATGTCTTAACTATTCACAGCAGCTATCAAAACGATTAGAACTGCCCACCGAAGAGATTATCCTTATCTTGCAGCCAAAGGGAAAACCGCCTGCTTTTATTATTGCAAATGGAAACATATTGTTGTTAAACATTTTAGTAACAATTTGTGAATGTGCCTCTTGTAGGGGAATTTATTTGAGAACAGTTTTTTTCCCCTCCCCAAGAAAGCTTGTTTTATCTTTACTCTCTCCTTCAAAAAAGCATGCAAGGCAGCCTCTCTTGGAAACAGTCTCTCTTAACATGTCAGGATTATTTACCAAAATGCTATTAATTTTCCACTTGCAGATTGTGGAAATGGAATCTCATGGAAATGATATAAGTCCCCAGAATCTCCCCGAAATTAAAGCATAGCTAAATGAGCTGAATGCACTTCCGGATAGTCTATGCGGAATGAGTTCTTTTCTCTGACTGCCAGGACAAAGAAATACGGCCAGCAAACTGGCACTTATGCCAGTGCTGCCCTTACGTGCAAATGAATTGTCTAAATTAAATGCAGCATTGACATTACATGGACCACAAGCCAAAGTTCAGGTAGCATTCTACCAGCATTAAAAAAACAAAAAACAAAGCCTTCAAGCGGAAACTGAAAGTTATTTAGAACATCTGTACATCCAAACGGGAAGATTCATGGAGTGATTGCAGGATATTTAATGTGGGTTTAAATAAGTAGCTTGCAGACAGATTGTTTTTGGCCTGTTGACTGACTGACAGACAGACAAGAGGAACTGTTTCTTCCTCCTGGCATAAACCCACAAAAGAAAGGCATCAGAAATAGTCTGAACAAAAGACACACAGTAGCCAAGCCTCGGAACTTTCTCTTCATAAACTAGCGCAAATATCACCTTCTAGTATATCCAGTTGTCACTGCAGTTAAAAGCAAGTTTCAGGTGTGATATTACGTACTACGACCCCTACACATCCCACCTATACGGCTACATCAGAAAATGGTACTTTAAGAGCATTTTTCATACATCGTAAGAGTGCAAGGTCCCCGCCAAGCATTCCCAGAAGTTAATTCCATTACGGCAATACGCCTGGTAGGAATTCACTATCCGTTAAGGAATTGGATCAAAATCGTTGCCATTTTGCACCAGCAAAGCCCCGTGCCTGTTTTTCAGAGGGTTGGGAATGAACCGAAGGATGCGGTTTTTCCAAAACAGAGGTCAGCTCAGTCTTAAGAACAGGCACTATTTTTCATTTAAGAACCAATTGGTAATGATAAGCTATGTTTTGACCAGGTTTAGCAACATCCCAGCATCTATGGAGCGAAAGCAAACAACTCCAGCCTTCTTTGTACAAGGAGGTGGCCAATACAATTTAAATTACATATTTCATACAGGAGAGATGCTGGAGGGGGGGGGGGGAAACCAGCAATCCACCATCACTCCGAAGCTGGTCTAAGCAGCCACAAGGGTTAGTCAACTTCTCTAGTTAAGTTGCTTCCATCACTGACCAGATTCTGATATTTTCCAGGGCTGCCTTTCGATTGTGGTTTTATATATAAGAAAAACACACCCAGCTTTCCAAAAAGTAGGAACCGTCAACCGTTATCGTTTTCCCCAATTACCACCTCCAACAACCCCAGAAACAAGAGCCCAGAAATATCCCTCCACCGAAATGTAGCTTTTTGGGGAAGGGCAATGCTGGTTTAGAGAGGGCAGAAGAAGGGGACAAAAGCTGCGAAGAAAGAAACCTCCCCTTTGGGGAGCCCAAAGCCATCCTCAGAGGGTGCCAGGCAGAGGTTGAGTGGGGGGGGGGAGAAGAAACATCTGGAGGGCAAAGCCCAGCCTCCATATTGGCCGCTTCCACCTACCTCCCCAAGCCCCCCCCCTTCTCCAGGGGAAGCGAGGAAAACAGCCCCAAAGGGGGACTTGGGGGGGGGGG